CTGCAGTTTCAGCTTTAGGCTTCTCAGTTAAACTTTCTGCCTGAGTGGCATGTATAAATTGAGAAGAAAAAACTCTCTGTTCTGATTGGCCTGACACAATATCCACCAGGGGGAGTGTCTAAGCATGTGGAGAAGAAGCCAAAATGGTGTTTTCAGAGGTTTGAACAACAGGAGAGTCCATCTTATTTAACTCAAGTATAGATAAGGCCATTTTGGCCTGGAACAGCTCACGTTCAAAAATTTCTATTTGTTCACGATAGCCTTTTATAGCTTGCTCAGAGCTCTGAGGAGAATGATTAGTTTCTCTCTCTGTGTAGGAGTGAAAAAGCTCCTGTGAAAACTTTGGCCTTGCACCACATGTTTCAAACTCTGAAACATGCTTGAGAGCATGCATACTTATAAGGGGGCGTTACTGACCTCGGTTGAAGCACGTTGCCTTTAATAGCAGCCTCTTTGCAGTCTTCTCCTTCTTGGAGCCTTTGTAAAATACTTTTTACTTCTTCATCAGAGACATTTAAAGTTGTTGCAGAATGCTTTCTTGTTTTTTTTCTTCTTGGGCATTCTTAGGAATGATTTACATCAGCGTTCCTCAGCCTTGTGTTTAAAGGAGGTTGAATCTTGGTTTTTCCTTGGAGTATACTTTACAATTAAAAACAATAAACCCGAGGTATATTCTAAGAAACATATTTTTATTGTAAAATAAATAACAAACAAACTTACTGGCTAATAACTACATTTTTGGCAAAGTTCCTAGCCTACCTCCTTGTGGCAAGCAAACAAAAGAGAAAGAGAAAGAAGAAGGCAAAAGGACATGTGTAGTAGGCTTACAGAGAAGAGTCAGTCTACCGTATGTCTTAGAATATAAGCACAGCTGGCAAAACAAAAAACATCGTGACAAAATTGTATTCTAATTATACCTGAATTTGACTTTTTGAATATGTGTCTTTATGTGTGTCTGCCTGTCTGTTTATCTATTAGTTGTTTCTTTCTGAGGTTAATAGTTTTAAGATAATTTTTCATTTATTTAGAAATGGTTTGAGCTGTCAGTTTCTGTACACTGTTCATATTGTGACTAAATAACTTAGAATCTTTATAGGTATGAATTAAATTCTCTGTGCTGCACTCAGAGCAGTGCTTTACCTTGGCCCTTTCCCACTGGATATACTGTATGCCAATCTGTGCTAACCTGTTGCTCCCTTGAGATGCAACTGAAACTTGACCTAGCTACCTCAGCATTCTCAGGTCATCTGAGAATGGTTATTACTTCCAAAATCTGTGTAGATTATCCTAAATTGGGTCAAACTCAATAACCAATCACAACAGGAATATTTAGTTCTACTTAAAGTGTGTTATGTACATTGGGTAAAAAGGACTTTCTAATAAGCAGTTTCGGATAATGAAGGAAAATATTTGGGAAACACTAAATTATGCCTCCTCTGCCCACAGCCCTAGATGGCTTGGGTGAGCTATTTCCACACCTATTTACTGTGGGTAAAAATGCTGCTTGGAGGAATAGTGAGATGAAATCTAATAAACAAGAAGAAGAGAAAGAGAAAGAGGAAAGAGAAGGAAAAGAAGACTTGGAGTTTGTAGTCTGAAATGCCATTCTGATTGTCCCAAAGGTGTGTTTTCAAGAGGCAACTCGACTTTCTGGTTTTTCTTTGAAGATGTTTCACTTCTCATCCAAGAAGCTTCTTCAGCTCTGACCGGATGGTGGGGAATGGAAGGATTTATATTTCTTGAAGACATACTGTCTCTCTATGAGTCCTGAAAGTGGTGATCCCAGGGATGTTCTGGTGATTTGTTAGTATAGTTGCCTCACCATTCAACTACTACAGTACAACAAAGACCAGCCGTAAAAGGATGGCACTGTCACATCTCAAAAACATCTCAGAAATCATCAACAGACTATTACAACCTCATGACATCATATAGCACACCAAAGCCCGCCAAAATATCCTAAGTAAACAAACAAACAAAAAAAGCAGCAGTTGCAGAAGAAAAAAACAAGGGTCATCTACAACATACAATATAAAAACTGTAGCAGCCACAGATAGAAAACTAGC